ACATTCATGGCAGGCTGAATTCCTCCTTTATGGACAAGCGTTATTTCTGGGAATTAGTTGAAAAAGAAGGCATTTCTCAACTGATTAAGGCTGAAAGGCCTGCTTGAAAAACAGCAGTTTTGAGTAGAACAGTAGCCCTCTACAATAAAAAATGGTAAATGATTAACATCATCCAAAGATTTCTGATGAGATGAAAGAATCTTTTCAGTTCTCGGAGCACGAGGACCCGCTGGGTCCAGCACACCAGTGCGGCGGGGCCACTCACTGCAGAATTCCCAGGCGTGCAGCACAGAGGCTTCCATCACGCATGAGAGGCCAGTACGTTAAGAACTGGAGAGTAGGGAAAGCCTGGAGAACATTGTCACAGGGATCCACACACCATTCCTTGAACTTTTTTCTTAAAAAGTTAGTTTTTCTTAAGTTTTTCTTAAGTTTTTTCTTAAAAGTTGGAGAGTTTAAGAGTTATTTTTGGAGAGTGACACTGATAAAAGACCAGTAGTGCTCCCTGACTAAAGCAGGGATGCCGTGCTAAGTTCAACTTCAAACTGGTGTCTCTTTTCAACACTGCTGGGAGATGACTGGTTAGAGACCAACACAGACAGAACGAGCAATAAGCCTGAAAATGCTTTTGGACTCCATTTTGCATCCAGCTGAAGTTGGATTTGTTAAAAACTTCAACAGCCATCGACAACTTGTTTGTACCACTGCATGCAATGCCATGACCATGATGTGGTATTTCAGGCTTACATGGAGAAAAGGAGGTTTATCTTCCTCTACTTACAAACTCTGGGGTTTCAGCCTGTGTTTAATCCCAGCATTCAGATCTCGCATTCTCACCAGCTGCTCACATCATGAGCTAAAAAGTCTCTGACACTTTCATTATCTTCAGAGGCACTAAGCCATCATCACATTATTCCTTTCGATTTGCTTCTGAAGCAAAAACTCTGAGAGTTCACCTAGACAGCAGACATTACCGAGTCATCCAATGGGACATAAATTAATAGTATATACTGATTAATAACCCATGGTACGTATATCCAACTCTCCAAACCAGAAATCCAGTCCTGTTATCACGTCATTCCCCAAATGAGTCAATATTTGAGTCTGAAATTAATTGGAAAAAGCGTGAATTGTTGAAAACCTCCCAGCAGCCATGTAATGGAGAATCTCTCTCAAAGGCATCTCCACAGGGAAATGAATGCAATTAAGGACCCAGGTAATAAACTGCCAAGAAATTGTAACTAGCTAGAGAAGCCGTATTTAAACCCGGAGTCCCCCCAGTGAGGTGAGCAGGGAGTGTCATCTGTCCCTGAGCTGCTGCAGAAAGATTTTGAAGCACAAAAAATGAATATTCTATGTAAATATTGCCGTGCTTTCTGTTGCCTCTCTGCATCCACCCTCCTAACTTATTAAAAAAGAAATGAACAGCATTTGTAGAGGTCTCCTGTGCCATTCTGGTGAGCACCCTGCCTACCGTTTGAAGAAATCCAAATGATGACAGGCAAAGTGGCAAGTGTGTTCTCCCTTTCCCAGCGCTAAACGCTGTTCTGAATTGCTGCCTTTACTACTGTAGCCATAATTAAAACTGAGACTAGACGAGATACTCCTGGACTGTCAGAGGTCCCAGAGCACCCCCCAACACTTTGCTAATGAACAAGGGAACCAGCCTGAAGCGCTTTACAAAAGCAGGTCACCCCTTGAAAGGGTCCCCGCGGCAGAGCCTATGTTGTCATAAGAGACTTCTAGATGGCTTGCAGACAGCTTCACACAAACCCAGAAATATCAGCGTTATCAGACACACTGCGGAGTTCGAGCTGGCAAAGGCCTTTTTCCTCCAAGGCTTGAGAGAGCCGGAATAAAGAAAACGGGGCAGGGGTAGGTATTGCCCGGGACAGTCCAGCAGCCAGGCAGCTGAAGGAACAGAGGGACCCAAGAATTAATGTGGTCTTTAGTAGACAAACTTCTGCTGAAAAATCACATTCCCTATGTTTATTTGTTGGAATGTATTACAGCAGGCCACAAGGACTCCGGGGTTTAACAGCTGCAGAGCAGAGATCATGCCTGCATGAATTTACAGTGTATGAATTTACAGAAAGTGGAGAAATAAGCCTGAGCCCGGAATAGAAAAAAAGGGTGTTTGGCTGTTCTGGAGGGACGGCACAGAAAGAGCAGCTTTCCACCCTAGAGAGCAATGAGACAAATTCAAAAGCACTTGGAGCACGCTGCTAGATACAATTGTTTAAGAACCACTGAAGGAATTTCAGCCCTCCCCCCCCCCC